TCTCAGAATGACCTGGTGATGCTGGCGTATTCCTCGAAGGTCAGCCAGCAGTCAGTCCTGCGCCCGATCCTTGCCTGGCCCGTCGACAGCTTCACCAGCTGCCTGCCCCTCTCCACGGCCTTGCGGGGCGGGTACACAGGCCTGCCGGGGGGCAGGGGGCACAGACAGACAGCTTCACCAAGCGGTTCACATTACCAGCGGCCCTCACAATCGAGCTCCTGTTCGGCTGACCTGTCGGTGCCAACTCGGGGCTGGCTCGTCCCTGCGCTGAAGGCCTTCTCCTCTTCCTCCTTCTCTCTCCGGTCACCCCAGGCGCTCTTCTGTCCCAATGTCCTCGCGGCGGGGCTCGTCCCGGGCTGTCTCAGCTTCAGGAGGGGGTCAGAGGCTCTCAGCAGCCTGTCACCGGGGTGCAGCAGAGCTGGTAAAAACGACACACGAGCACATAAACACACACACACACTGTTAGGTGGAAGTGTTAAGATTTTAGCCCTCAGTGTTTCACAGGGGAAAGAGCTCTTTTGCTCCCTTCTGTCTGAAGATTGTTGGAGATGCAGGTGCAGACAGGAGGCCGGTGTGGTGAGAGAGAAAGGGGGTCGTTTGGTCTGACCGCTCACCCCTCTCCAGCGTGGCCTCGCTCAGCGCCAGCCCTCGCTCCTGGCACAGCTGCAGGGTGTCCATCAGCTCGCGGAGACAGGCCCGCCGGTACCGGTCCACAGCCTCCCCGCTCTGCCCGCCGGCTGTGGAGGGGAGGGCGTGCGCGTCCACAGCTGCCCTCCCTGTCTTCACCACCCAGGCCCGGGCCAGAGCCTCCACATCGCTGCTGCCCAGCTGCAGGGGGAGAGGCAGTGAGACACCCCACTCCTCCAGTCACTGAGCCCCCAGTGTGTCAGTGAGACACCCCACTCCTCCAGTCAGAACCCAGTGTGTCAGTGAGACACCCCACTCCTCCAGTCAGCGCCCAGTGTGTCAGTGAGACACCCCACTCCTCCAGTCATTGAGCCCCCAGTGTGTCAGTGAGACACCCCACTCCTCCAGTCAGAACCCAGATTGTCAGTGAGACACCCCACTCCTCCAGTCATTGAGCCCCCAGTGTGTCAGTGAGACACCCCACTCCTCCAGTCAGCGCCCAGTGTGTCAGTGAGACACCCCACTCCTCCAGTCAGCACCCAGTGTGTCAGTGAGACACCCCACTCCTCCAGTCAGTGAGCCCCCAGTGTCAGTGAGACACCCCACTCCTCCAGTGAGTGAGCCCCCAGTGTCAGTGAGACACCCCACTCCTCCAGTGAGTGAGCCCCCAGCGTCAGTGAGACACCCCACTCCTCCAGTCAGTGAGCCCCCAGTGTCAGTGAGACACCCCACCTTGGCTGTGCGCCGTCTCTGCCGGTGTAGTCTGCCCAGCTCTTCCTCGTCCTCCAGGGTCAGAGGTCGCCGCTCCCGCAGGCAGGGGAGGGGCACCTGCAGGAAGGGGGATCCCCGAGAGACACGCGCAGAGGGAGCGCCCTGTTGACCGGGCTCCGGGCCAGACCCCAGCTCCAGGCCGCCGGACAGGCGCGGCTCCGTGTCCGCTGGCGGGGAGAGAGCAGACAGAGAGCTGGAGAGCAGCAGCAGGAGTCGGGGGCACAGCGTGGGCGCAGGCCTCAGCCGGGGCGCCGGTCACTGACACACGCAGGGCTGGTGCTCCAGCGCGCTGATGAAGCAGCCGGGAGGAGCTCCTCCTCCTCCTCCTCGCTGTCTCAACAGAGGTCCCCAGTCTGCCAACTGTGGCCAAGACGCCCCCAGGCCCCTGACCTCCCTCGGCGCTGTGCGGCCAGCTCACACGGTCTCAGCCCTAACCGTAACAGGAGCAGCACAGCGCCACCCTTTCCCACTGCACAGTGAGCCCCGGCGCTGAGAGCAGACTCGCACCGGCAGGGGCGCTCCCACAGGCTGGGGACCCCCGTGTCCTGAGGGCAGCTCACCCGGAGCAGGAGACCCCTCAGTGGCCAGTGCGTAGCCAGCGCCGGGCGCCAAACTGGCCAGCAGGGGTCAGCCACTAGACACAACGACAGAGTCAGCCCTGCTCGTGCTAGGCATGACCTTCCGCAGCCCGATTTACAGCACAAATATCGGTGATAACCTGCCTGAGCAGTTCCTGTGTACTGTATTTGAAATTCCAGGCTGTCCGTGCAGATTTCCGCAGAAGGAGGCAGCCTGTCTGGAAGATCTGGCTCCTGATGCTGACGCCGGGGCTGGTAAAACCCGGGCCGGCTCAAAGTGCTCTGCAGCGCGTTACCTGCGCGGCCCTGCGCTGGCCTGCTCTTCCGGGCCTGCCTCGTCTGCAGGCTCCAGGCCCGCCGGCCGCCCACCAGCTCCCTGTAGCTCACCGTGTCCACGTCCCCGGAGCTCAGGGCCACCAGGAGGTCGTCCAGCTGGGCCTCGTCCACCGGGATCCCCTCCTGGCTCACGGCGGGGGGGGGCAGGGGAGAGAGCTGGGGTTACTGACGCCCGCGCTCTCGGGGGGAGGACAGCCAAAGCTCAGGAACGGCTGGCAAGATCCTGGGATCGATGCCAGCAGCCGAAGGGACACTCTTGCACCCCTGTGTTCCTGAACACACACAGGCCTCCTGTCCCACAGTGCTGCCCCCCCAGTGTGTGTGTCAATGTGTGTGTGTCAGTGTGTGTAGGTCTGTCAGTGTGTGTGTCAGTGTGTGTAGGTCTGTCAGTGTGTGTATCAGGGCGTGTGTCTGTGTGTATCAGTGTGTGTAGGTCTGTCAGTGTGTGTAGATGTGTCAGTGCTCACAGCGACCCGACCTGCTCAAAGACGGTTCTGAAGTCGCCCCGCGAGACCCGGCCAGTCCGGCGCCGGTCCAGACGCAAGAAGAGCTCCGTCAGTCTCAGCCTGTGAGCGTGTAGGTACCGCTGCAGGGCTGAGACCGCCTGAGGCGACGGCCGCCTGATGACTGGGGGGGGCACCGCGTGCTTCTGGGGGGGCTTCTTCGGTTGGGGGGGCCCCACCTGCAGGAGGAGACTGGGGGTGAGAGGGTGTGGCAGGCAGCTGGGGCACCCCCCGCAGTATTCCTGATCACCCTGGACTCACTCCTGTCAGGAGTTAAAGAGTGCAGTATTCCCGATCGGAATTCAGGAGGTAAGGAGCAGCAGTATCGTCAGTATTCCCTACCCCTGGTTTCACAGGAGGCTTCCGGGCGTCTCCCTGCTCGCTCCTGGGCCGGGCCTCCCCTCTCTCCCCCACGGACGCCTCCAGCTCGGAGACCACCGGTTTGCTCCGGACCCACTTCCGCACGTCTCCCATGCTGTCCAGCTGCCTGCGGAATTCCTTCCTCTGGGCCATCCAGCCCTGGAGCTCCCTCACGGCCTCGTCCCGGGGCGCCGGCGGTCCGCTCTCCGGCTCCTGTGGGGCCGGGTCGGCTCCGGCGAGGGGGGCCGGGGGGGCCCGCCTGGGCCGCCTCTGGCCCACGGCCGGGCCTGGGGGCGCGGGGTCAGAGGTCAGCTGGAGGTCACGGTCAGCCGTGGGCATCGGCGGCGCGATGATGACCCTCTCCCGGCTCTTTGGGGGGCCGAACGTTCTGGCTGCCACTTTAAAAAAGTAGGTCTGGAAAAGGTCTCTCTGTCTGACCCGCCGTAACTGTTCCTCAGGAGTTGCTTCTGTCATGATTTCCGTTTTCACATTCATACACGGTGCATGTACAGTATATGTCCCTCGGGACCCTACATATGAGCAATTCCAACACTACAACCCTAGAGAACCATAGCTGGTTATGTGGACCGGTCTGAAACGGCAATGCGCGTCTGGTTTGCCCTAGACCGTGTTTTAAGAGGGCATGTTTATGAATCCGTCTCCAGACAAAACGCAGACCGGCCACATGCGAGGGACACACGCCGGCGGGGCTCTGTTGCGCTTCCCTGGTTCCTATGGCAACCCTCTGTGGCGCCGCCCGGAAGCAGGGGGCAGGAAGGGCTCTGATTGGCCGCCGGCCCGCGGACGACACGCCCAGACTGGAGAGGGAGAATCTCGGCCCGAGTTTTCGGCAGCGCGGATTCTCTCTTTTTTATTTTTATTTTCCATTTAAAAAAAAATCAGATATATTCCAATTCGAGTTAGTTTTGGAGACTTTTATCTTGAAAGACTCAGACGCCTCTCTGACCGCCGCACGATGCTCGCTGAATGTTAGTGGAGCTGTGGAGAAGCGTTCTTAGTTCCTGCACTTATAATGGTCAAACCACAGGTCCATTCTTCTTGCTTGACTTTGACCCATTTTGCATTTTATTCCTATCTTATTGAACACCTAAGGCGGTTTGTTTTTGTGTCATTTTCCGTTTCGGGTAACTGGCTGCATTAACAGGGGAATAAGTGTTTTTGTTTTCAGGAAAATGAAACCTAAAGTCTCAAACACCCGCGACCCCCTTACCAGAGAGATGTGACAGGGTTGCAGCAGTGTGGAACAAGCTGCCCCGCCATGTCGTGACGACGATATTAGACTCTTAAAAAAAAAAAACAGCTGGATGAATTAGCTGCTGACTACAGAAACCGGCTAGAGAGGCAAATGACTACTTCGCGTCTTGTTCCTGCTGGTTCAGTACTCGCTTGTTGACTTGTTTCTGCTTTTAACGGTTAATTTGTACGGGTAGTTTCTCTCATTTTCACAAACGCAGGCCAAGGGAGACCCTGCTGTCTCCCTCTGTATTCTCCACACCGCTGTTAAACCTGAGCACAAGCGCTTTCCTCCCGACAGAAGACCGCTCTCCGGGTTGGCTGTATTTCGGAGTTTTACCACGAGAGGGCGCTAAGTCCCAGAGGTCTTTGCGGTCTGGCCTGGCCTGTGTTTTGACCAGCTGCTAGGGACTTTGTATTTTATCATGACAAGAATGCCAATGACCAGCCAAGCCTAATATTGCTCTGGCTCGGATGCCTCACCAGGCACCACAAGCGACAATGAGAGAGAAAAATGACAATATTTTCCCAAGACGCCCGAGCATTGTGATAAATCGCTTTTCCCAATTGGCTCTTGACTTAGTCGGCCCGCTGACGTCCGTATGGAAACAATTGGTAAGGAGGCCTGGAGAAATCACTCCACGCCAGCGGGGCCACTGGGCGCCGCCACAGAAACACTCCGAAAGAACACTGTCTCCCAGCTGGTCCGGACTTCCTCCGGAGGACAGCAGGCAGGGAGGATGTA